CTGCTTTTGATGCAGTTTTTTAAAAAGATTTGTTCAAATAAACAGCTTTAATAAATTAATTCACATAATAGTATTTTAATTTTTTATTGTTTTTTCTTCTTCTTTTTTCTTTTAATGTAAATAATTTTATAAAATAAAAGTTAATTTGTCCATGCTCAAGGAGTAGGATTCGGTATAAAATCAATATTCGACTCTTGTCATTTGAGTCCAATGAAATAAAAAAAAATGCATGTTCTTTATCAGGTATCATTTTTGTTTGAGAAAAAATTCAATAAAATTTCATAAAAAATATTAACCATGAAAGTCTAAAATAAAACTAGACGGTAAAATATTCAACTGATTCTGTCGATTGAAATAATTGTTCCCATGCTGAAGCGAAGTATAAGTTTAAAAATAATATTTTGTTGGTGATTGTGCGACCAAGCCAGTCAAGTGCATTTGCTTGCAAAAGTAATGTTGTGACCGTAATTTGAAAAAATAAAAAATAAACAACTAGCTTGACAAACGATTAATGATTTTAAAACAATGTTATGTGTCTTAGGTGGTAATAATGATTTTAAAAATGAAAGAAGTAAGCGATTAGTGAACAAGTGGAATTAAAAATTAAGTGTATTGGAAAAAAAAAAAATAATAATAAATAAAATAAATTTATCTCTTAAGAAATACGAATTTCAATACAATACGAAGAAACGTAGAAGTAGCAGTGGCAATAGTAGTATATTAGTAGTGATCCTTCAAACAGGAATATAGTTTATTTTCTGGAAATTTTCAACGGGACAGTCTCGCTCTGTGGGACTTTAAACACGCCTCATTGCACCGCGCAGTGGTACAGCTTCGTATTTTCATATATACCTTACACCATCATCGAAATTATACCTAACGCTATTTCGCTCACTGGCCGATCTCTTCACTCAGATAATATTATATGGTCGATTTGCCTCTTTTTTTTTTCGTCGATTTCTGTTCAACTCTTTCTCACAGGCTGCACATCGTTATAAATCTTTCTGGATATAATTCTGTCACGAGACGAATATATATATATATATTTATATATGTTATATACTTTTACACCATAAACATAAATCTTTTTTTTATCTTTCTCTTTTTCGCGTACACCTAATTCCACACGACTGCGTGTGCTCACATGACTTTTGGATCGATTGACCTTAGAAAAAAAAAAAAAAAAAAAAAAAAAAAAAAAAAAAAAAAAAAAAAAAAAAAAAAAAA